ATTATTATTATTATTATTATTATCATTATTATTATTTTTATTATTATATCCTCTGTCCTACTTGGTACTCTATTTTTTCGAAAAAGGCATTTGAGTAGTTTTATGTCACGTTATTAAATTCATGTAAATTTTACATATTATTTTAAAGCAACTTTGATTATCGGCTAATGTTTTTTGCGGATTAAATTTAGTAAAATAAATTAATTAATTTATTATACATATCATTTAAATAACGGAGTAAAATATAGAACAAACCTGTTATTAAGATCGCCTTATGAATTCTTTTATTTTTTCTTTCACGTACTTTACCTAATCTGTGTATGAGTAATCAAAAGTGTGCGCCTATCGTATTTAATTTTTTCTTCAACACTAACGCGTGCTCCAGTAATCAATTAATTTACTTTTTATAATTCAGTTTGTTCTTTAAAATGCATGCATGAATAGTTTTTATAATGCTTAGTAACTAATTTATAAGTAAAATAAAATAATTATAAATGGTATCAAGACAAAGTTTTAGATAAATGGAAGTTCATATCTTATGTGGGTCATGTATGATTCCTTAGTTCATTTGACGTGAAAATATTCACCAGTTCTTGCACAATCAAAAGATAACACAAATTAAAATTTTGAGTGAATCTTCGCTCTTTTATGTATATATATCAAATTACTAATCATTGTTTATAGGTTTTACTATTATAAATATATTAAATATATAAGACATATTAAGCAATAAACATTCAACTACTAGACAATAAATCTTCACATTATTTTTTTTACATGTTGTCCATTGTTCTATAATATAGAAATTTTTACCCTTATATTTCAGTTTATAAGTTCTTGTTTCTTTTTTGAAATTGACTTTTTCGATAAAAATATTATTGAAAAAATTTTCTAAACTTTACTTTAATAAAAGGAAGCTTTTGACTAAACTATGTAGTCTGTAGTTTATAGATATTAATATTATAATAAATAAAATTTGATATTATTTAACATTATTATCCTTTCTAAAAAATTTATTACCATGTTCAAATATTTTATTACTAGAAATTAAATCCAAATATGAATAAAAACAATAAAAATAAAATAACTAAATGTTTTATACATTTAAATATTGTTATTAAGTTCATAAATTCATGTGAAAAATGCATTTTTATTTTCTTTCATGTTATATTATGTGTTTATTATTATTATTATTATTATTATTATTATTATTATTATTATTATTATTAGTATTATTATTATTATAATTATTATTATTTTCTCCTCTATCCTACTTGGTAGTCTATTTTTTCGAAAAAGGCATTTAAGTAGTTTTATGTCATGTTACTAAATTCATGTAAATTTGACATATTATGTTAAAGCAACTTTGATTATCGGCTAATTTTTTTTCCGATTATAAGAAAACAAAGTGATGGAAGATCTCCCTTTTGCGTTGCCAACAACAAAAGAAGAACACTTCGACAAAATGAGGGAGTGGATGCTGGAAAGGTGGGAAGAATGGTTGGAGGTTGCACTCTGCCGCATACTACGACGTTTTGTCGTGTTCGTGAGTATGACAGAAAAGACCGACATCGTCGCTAATTTTCATCAGATACACAAGACTTTTGTTGAGGAGACGGGTTCCTGGTATACACTTAACGATGCTTACCGAATGTACAACGTGCTAAGGGAAAGGTTCAGGACATTTCAGTGGTTGTTACGTCAGCCGAGTGTGTATCACGATCCCTCGATTTTACCGTTCATGTCCCACTTCTGGTCAGAAAACTAGCGCTTAAGGTATATGTCTGAACAATCATCATTCATATGTTAAACAAGTTATGTCATGTGTATTTTGGTTGATCGCATCGTCATGTTTTATTTTGTTTATGAAGCATTGGCCGCTTGCACTGTACGTTTTGAACGTACCTGACCCGAGGTGGGACGTTCTGAAAGCCATATTCGAACCAATGGGGATAATGCAGGAGTATCCAGGCGAAGAGAACCCGAAGACACCGCCAAACTTCCTAAAGTTGTCCGAACTATTTGAGGAATACATGGCACATCTGCATGGAACTATTAGTTACTAGATTGTGCAAGTTATTTTGAAGACCGCTTGTTTTGTTATCATCTCTGTGGGAATATTTTGCAAAAAAAAAATTGTTTTAGGGTCTGGTTATTAAGTTATTTGTAATGTTGAATTACTGATTACTAGTATGGTTGTGTTTTGATATCTGAACGGAAAAAAATTTTAATCAGTTGTATTGAATACAATTGATTTTAGTTGTATTGAATACAATTGATTTTAGTTGCTAAGTATGTGGATTGCAAATGGAATTCTGTTAAATATTGCGATATGTATATATATATATATATATATATATATATATTGAATGCAATGATTTGAATATAAACTAAATTATAATTTGTATATTGCTTTTTATGTTCCCCCGCAAGTCCCTTTCTCTGGCGAAAAATTCCTCTTTTCTCAAACCGCCGACCTTCTTCAATTCTCGATCAGATCTGCCTTCCTTGGTGACAACGAGTTCGGGCTAGCGGTCACCTTGACCGCTTGGCCCACCCTCTGATGCCTAGTTCGCCTCCGCCGTCGTTGTTCTGCCGTGGATGTCGGTTTTTGATAGTCGGGCCAAGGTTGTGGTCGGGTCTTATGGCGGTGAGCCCAATCTGCCGATGGTTCTTCGATCTGTTGGCGATTGGCGACGTCTCTGCCGGAGAGTCTTCGATTGCTGGTGGATAGCCCTCGATCTGGTTTTAGGGTTTGTTCGTCGGCGGTCGGTTGAGCCTTCGGGTGGGGTTGTTGGGGTGGGACCCGGTTCATTAGTGGTCTCAGGTGGTGCTTGACGGACGGTCTCGACTTCGGTCGTGACTTCCAGAGAGGGCCTCTGTACTTGGACTGCCTGGTTGGTTTGGGTATGTTGGGGTGAGCTCGTTGATGGGTATGCCAGTGGTCTTCGGGGTGCGGGGTGGATTGAGTGTCTTTTGGGGGTCGGGCGAGGCTCTCGCAGCTTCGACCTCTTGGGTCGTGGAGGTTGGAGTGGGGAACCGAGTCACTCTCTTCCTCCTGGTTCTCTGGTGTTGGGGACTGCGGAGGTGGTTTGGCACTACCGAGCCGGCTAGTGGTGTTAGGTGAGCTCGTGTGGGGCTGACATGGGGAGCTGACTGGTTGTCCTCCCGGTTGAGGTGGATTGATTCGGGTTAGGTTCTGGGTCAGGGTCTTGCTTCTGTATAGGCGTTCGGCAGCAGTTTCGGAAGTTGGGCTTGGACTTGGGATCTATCGTGGATTCGATTGTTTCTCTGCGGTTTCGACTCGTTTGATTGCTGGGGAAGGGCGTTCTTAGTTTAATTGCTATGTTGTTATGTTCGTTTTTGTGTTCTTTGTGGTGTGTTGCTAGGCTTCGTTTTTTAGGTTTGGGCCGTTGGCCTCTGTGCGACCGAGTGTCACCTTTATTACCCTGTTGGGGCCCGACACTCGGTATTACCCTGTTGGGGTCCTTGTAGTTGTTTTTGTAGTTTGTGTTGTTGGTTAGTTTAGTTGTGAGTGTGTTTTTTATTCTAGCATTGCTAGTCGGGATTCTAGGCGGGCTTCTGACCTGTCCTCCCACTTTTTCAGCTGTTGGCTGCTGTGTATTCAGCCGTTGGCTGCTGTGTATTCGCACATTTGTGCATTTTGATTTATAAAATTATCTATCGTTTTGGGAAAAAAAAATATTGCTTTTTATAATTAGTAGAAAATAAACTAACAACTAGTAACGCAATGGTAAATGCTAATATTTACACTTAGTTTATTTGTATAGTACTTTTTATAATAAGTACTTATACATATTATATTATATAATCCAACAAATTATTATGTTAAAAAATATAACAAGGACATGCAAAATATATTTGCTATGTAGTAACTCATATTGGTATCGAGTTACCGCCAACAATTGCAAAATCATTCGAATTATTTAAAATTTTCCAAAAATGAATATGTTTATTTCACATATGCACAAACTAATAAAGGATATACTTATGTGGTGATATATAATTTATAACTTATAACATTTTTACTACATGAACCATACAACATTTTTTGTTTCATAAAATTACATAAGTTGAAGTAAAATAAGAAAATTACATTTAATTGATATTTAAAATAGTTTAAAATCATGAAACAATTTAGGTTGATCTCGGGTGATCGAGCTATGGGTCATTGACACAACCGAGGTTCATCCCAATATACCAAGTTATCTAACACATTTTAGTAGACCAGTTCGATTACAAGTTACCAAGTTATGGGTCAGTTTGAGCATAAAAAATTGATTATTATGTTATTTATATACTATATTTTTAATGCAGCCGTGCTATTATTTCCCGTGCATTGCACGAGCCACATACTAGTATGATAAAGGTGAAAAGTGTTAAGTAAAATTACGTAAGGGTTTGTAAACGTTAGATCATCTATCCCTGACGATTACATGATGATCTAACGGTTACAAACCCCAACGGAATGGTGCCGCCTAACAAACATCTATTTGTCTACATGAAGTAAAATTTCAAAGGCATTTATTCAATCACATTAATGTACCGCATAATTGTAGTGAAATTTCGTTTAATGTTGTCAAAAAAACAATTTCGGTCCGCTAATTTGTCCATTGTCCACTTTTGGTACACTAAAACTGATGAAAAGTGTAACATAATGGACCATTTTTTATGAGGGGAAAGATAGTGTACCAAAAGTGGACAATGGACAAGTTAGCGGACTAAAATTGAATTTTTGCCTATTAATGTTGTTGATATAAATATTTTTTATTTTTTTGGTACAATATATAAATATTTGAAATTATGATATTAATAACTACTAATAATATGAATCATATAGCATAAAATATTAGGGAACATATTATTTATTTCTTTACTTAATTATGTATTCAATCATAATAGAATAATGTAATATTGACCACAGCCTGTATCATTAAATGATAATGATAATTTACCTTATTTAAGACGGTTGCAACAAATTAGGAAATAATAGATATGGGCGTACGCTAATATTGTAAACAATCTCACCAAATTTTTGGCTTTTGGTAACTACCTCTGTTGACCTCCATCTACAAACACCAACACAAAATACATCTATCGAACAGTAGACTGGAATAGCCATCATCAAAGAGGGTAAATAATCGGCAAGCGTAGTTGTCATATACTTCTCCTCTAAATGTCGGATTTTGATGAGGTAAACATTCTTGTTCGTGATGAATATCGTGTGGATTATATATTCTTATGGTTGATGTTTTTAATTTTTTAAATCGTTGGGTTCTCCTGCCACAAAAAGAGGTAGTCGTCTACATGCGGACATGAAGTCATGTTCACCAAGTAGTACAAAAAAACGAAGGAAAGAACTATGTAATTCTCCAAGATCGTCGAATCATGATGACTGTAAACTGTTGCACAGAACCAAAATGATGACAATCGTCACTATCAACAGTGACCTGACAAGTATACAACGTCGTGCGGTTGAAAAGGTGGGCTTTGGGACATTTTCGCGTTTGAACATAACGCAGATTGATTCTAAGTTAGTGATCATGCTACTTAAGAAGTATGACCTCACTTCCAGGACTATCAAGGTTGGTAGTGCTACAATTCAGTTGTCTCCAGCGGTTGTTGAGAAACATTTTGGTCTGTCCAGTGATGAAAGGTTAATTCCGAAGAAAAAACAGGAGGGTATCCGCTTATACCGTCAATTATTTTCTGACGACCAAGGAAAAAACATTGGGTATGCCGGCCTTGTTGCTATGGTTAAAAATTGCAAGACCAGTGGACCTGAATTTGTAGTAGCCTATTTGATGCTAGTGTTTAGCACCGTGTTGTTTCCACGTAGTAGGGATACGCCTCTGGATTATGAATATCTGGACTACTTGGTACATTTGAATGCATTACAAGAGTACAATTGGTCTGAAATAATACTGAGATATCTTGACATCGGTGCAGAGGCAGTCAAATCCTATAAATTGTATGCCACGGGTTGCATTTTATTAATGCAGGTATACTTTTATTACTGAGCCTCTTAAGTTATTAGTACTTATATATATACATATATATCGGTAGTAAATTCAAAGTATTGTAGGTTGTTTTCCTCGAATATGTGACGACAACATTCCCGATGGTCGGCAAACATTTACACCATGGAACCCCGTTTTTAGAGCATTGGATCCAACCGGAAATCACAAGAGCAATTTCGGTCTTTAAACAAATAGGCAGTTATAATGCGGATTTTGTAATTTCCAGGATTAACTTTTTCCTTCTTTTTTTTCGTATTTATTGTTTTGGAAAACTTTACTTATTCTTTTGCAGAATTGGAAAGTAAAACCGCAATCGGACAAAAATTAATGACTTCTGGTCCAATATTGATGTGCCCGTTGAATCCAAAAACAATGCACAAGTCAGAGCCAAGCTCATTGAAAATCTCATGTTAGTTAATCAGGGAGTGTCTGGTATTATCGCATTACTTCAAGTTAATGAGCCCATTGAAGTTTCATGTAGACAACATGAAAAGATATATGCAACTGGGAAAGGGAAAAATGAAAACTTGGATTTTGAGGCCTGCGAGGAAGAAAAATGCACTCCCGATGTGAGTCACGGCATGAGAACAGCTTCGAAGACAGAATGCCTGAACAGAATTTTGCCTCAGAATGGGTTGATGATAAAATGAGTCTTAACAACTTGGATTTTGAGGCATGCAAGGAAGAAAAATGCACTCCTGACGTGAGTCACTACATGAGAACAACTTCGAAAGGCACCATGCGTGCACAGAAACCCGCCAAAACCTGGTTTGATATGGATCCTAAAAACATGGATTTTGATGAGTGCGAGGAAGAAGATTGTACTCCCTAGGTGACTCACGACACGATAACAAATGCATTCCAATATTTCAAACAAATTACTATACTGGATGAAGAAGCGTCGGACTATCTTTTCAATGATAATACGGAACTTAGATGAGTGAAAGAGACGCCGTCAAACTAATGGTGATTTAATATATATGTTGATATATCTATTTCTCACCACCAATTTTGTTCAGAACAAC